TGTATGTGTATATATACATATATATGTATGTATGTGTATATATATACAAACACACACAACCATATACAATATATACATGCTCACAATACACTAACATGATCTTTATTCTGATGACATCATCATAAATGTATGAATGATTTTCTGTTACTTAGTCTACACAATTCCTAGTAGCTGGATCCTGTGAATCTATTACATGGATTTTATATTTTGGCAACTAGGTTCTTAATCTAGGAAATATAATCAGTGTGCCTTTCAATGATTCTGTTTGAATCTACATATTATACAAATTATGTTATCTTCTCAAATGTTTCTTCAAATAACACATAATTAACAACTATATGGAATAACACAACTCAAAGAATATAAACATGAAGTCCCTTTTCCTCCCCACTTGTTCCCATTTACAATACTCCTTGCTTCTTTCCCTTTCTACCTTCCTACCCAGCCTTCTGGGTAAATTCTCAAGTTACTGTTACATGACTTTAGCTAATCCAGTGACTAATTAAAAATTAAAATGATTAGTATATTTCAGAACTTTGGAAATTTTCCCACCTTTTGGCCATCTCCCATTGGCAGCTATGGAGTTAAAAAGAGTAGTTCCTTTCTTCTTTGCTTTGTGATTATGTATCTCCTCTGAGATCTCCATGCTTCCACTTGTTGAAATTGAGCCAATGAAATTATGAGGAGAGTTGTAGAGGATCTTTATATATAGATTTTATTTTAAATTATTTTTCTTTCATGTGGGACAGGGATAGAATCCAAAATCTTTAAGCTCTAACCCCAGTCAGAGTCTCTGTTCTAACTTGACAAATACCCTCATGAGCAGGCCTGTTATCTGGCCATAGAATTCTCAGCTGAATTCTTTGTTCATACTTTGTGGGCTTTGTGGAGACTCATTCACTTAAGTTCTTCTCCCTTCCCTGTGATAGTAGTGACACCATCTCCTCCAGCTCCTGGCTTGCTTGCTCACCACTCAAACACTGGTTTTCTTTTCTTTTTCTTTTTGTCTTTTCTTTTCTTTTCTTTTTTTTTTGTGTTGAACTCAGGGCCTGGATGCTGTCCTGGAGCTTCTTTTGGTCAAGGCTAGCACTGTATTTGAGCCACAGTTCCACTTCTACTTCTTTCTTTTTGCTTTTTGTTTGTTTTTTGTTTATAGGTTTATCAGAGATATGAATCTCACAGACTTACCAACCTAAACTGGCTTTTAACTGAGATCCTCGAATCTCATCTTGCTGAGTAGCTAGCATTATGGGCACTTGGATTATGGCACTAGGATTATATGCCACTTGTGTGCACAGCTTCCTTTATGTTATTAATAGCAACTAGATTGTCGGCCCCTCTGATTCTGTTTTCCTGGGAAGGAGGGAGACACTCACTATGCAGCAAATAATATGTTCTTCCAAGTGGTTATGTTAAGCTCTTTTTTCACTTGATTTAAGAAGACATCAGTCTGTATAGCTGTACGACATTCTGCTCTACTATGCTTAATCTTCTCTACCATATTATAAGCCAGAAAAGAGTGATCACTTGTGATTCTATGGTCTCTGTGTTGTCACCCAAGTTCTAGAGACTGGTGTAAAAATGCAATATCAATTTTCTTTGTTCTTCCACTGCAACTGCAATCTCAATGAGATGAGTTCTCAATGCTTGTATTTATATGGTTAATATTTTATAATGTTTGATTTGATATAAATTCTCACTTATTCAGCAACAAAGCATAGCATATCTTCATGTTTGTGTGTGTGTGTACATACACACACCAATACTGGAGCTTAAACTTAGCACCTCACACTCTTACTTAACTGTTTTGCTTAAGGCTGGTACTCTACTACTTGAGCCACAGTACAGGCTTCTTGGTGGTTATATAGAGATTAGATTCTCATAGACTGTCCTGCCCTAACTGGCATTAACCTCAAATCCTGAGATCTGAGCCTCCTAAGTAGCTAAGATTACAGATGTGAATCACCATCAAGTGGCTCATATAATCTAATTAATTACATTAAACAATGTTAAATATTGCAATGTAAATAATGATTGCATTTATAAACTTGTTTTGAATATGAAATGTTAAGATTTAAGATTTTCTCTTTTCAAAACGCAGTATATAATTGATACATTAAACAGTGATCTATTATTAATTTATTTATTCATATCACTCCCTTAAAAAAACATCATTGGTGAGGAAAAACACTTGTTTCATTTCCCCTTTGAATGTTCAGCATGATTGTTAGAATATTTAACAGACCTGCTCTATCTTTTGAGTATGGGCAGGAATGAAGAAGGAAGAAGACTAAATCTGTCATAATATGATGAAAAAGAACAGAAGGAATCTCTAATGTACAAAGTAATTGCCATGATTATTTGGTAAACACAAGAACCCAGAGAACACTATTGTTTAGTAAGATTATCAAGGGAAATCTTGTCTTTGAATAAAGATATGCTACTCAGAGAAAACTAATGCAAACATAATTTCACCAAAGTATTATTATCTGAAGAACAAAGACTGTTATCTCCATAAGAAATAAGCATGACCAATTCCTAGAATATGATTATGGGTCTATCTCTAACCATAGATAGAGTCTTTCCTGAGACTTTGTGACTAATATTACAATATATCTTTTCTTCAGGATTTTTCTTTAATTTTGGTAGGTTAATATAAGCCTTTCTCTCCTGAAGCTTCCATTCTTGAAGAAAAAAATAAATAGTCTTATGTAGTCATATATTGAAAATGTAGAAAGCTGTTGCCAAATGCAAACGAGAAGCAAGTAAGCTGAGTAAGGTGCTAATCCCAGCTATAATACTGAACAAATTAGAATGAGTAAGACACAGAAGGCCAATGAAATATGTGGGAAGAGAATATACATGTAATGTACTTAGTACACAAAGTATGTACAAAAAATGTCCTCTGACCTTACTATGAGTTGGACTGTAAATTTACAGTCAAGTACAGTTGATTTGGAAAGTAGAAAGAGAAGTTCACAAGATTATGAGAGGCATTGTGCTCACAAATTAGATACTAACAAAGAGCTCAAGAAAATGTAAATATTCTCAATATTGAGAAATTAATTCTATGGATACCTTGAAAGAAGACAGATTCCTAATATAGTGAAGGGATGTCTACATGAAGTTTTGCTAAACCAAGTTTTATAAGATTTATGTTAGGACTTTAATTAAAAAAAACAAAAACAAAAACTAAACCACTGAGGCCTATTTATGAAAGGCTCATTGACTGTTTCAGGTTCCTGAGAGACCTCCAGATACCAGATCCCTATGGATGGCTTTTGCAGACTTTGAGTCAGTTTTGGGCTAGGTTTAGCCAATGGGACAGGGGCTAAGACAGCAGTCATGATGGAAACAATCATTCCTTAGCACTATAGCAAAGTGGATACTTGCAAGAGGGAAGAGGGGTCAAGTAGAGAGAGGTAGAAGAATGAAGGGGAGGGAGAGGAGCCAATGCAAGCAAGAGTACATTGTATATATTACAGAACTGAGAAATATAAGGGAAGGGGTGGATCAAGGGTGGGGAAGAAGTTGAGGTGATGACACAGCTCAAGATGCATTTTACACATAAACTGCTTGGTTACATGGCATCAAATACATAAACTCAAGATAAGTAAGGGAAGGGTTGGGTTGGGAGGGGTGGTGAGAATGTTGAAAGGGTAACATTGATCAAAATTTAGTATTCAAAAACTGCTTCAATGAATGGGAAGTCTTTGGACAACTACTTGAAGACAATAAAAAATATTCAAAAGCAAACCCCACATAGTTTTATAACATTGATAAATAAATAGGAAAGCTTATATATGAGAGGTGAATTTGCCACATGCAATCTCATTACAAATCTGAATGTAGATCATCCACAATTTTCACAATTGTGCATATCTAGAAATGTTTGAGTTTTGCTTGTGAATTAGAAATAATGATTAAATAGTACTCATCGTCTCAAATACAGAATACACAAATAATGAAAAAGTTCCCACATATATTCAAGGAAGAGTGACTAGCAGCCAAAAAGTATGTGGAAAGCTTATTCATTTCACTGACTCAGACATGATCTTCAGGAAGGGTATTAGAATTCACCAATATCAGCAACACTGTTGTTTCAGTACCTGGATTTAGTAATGAGTTCTTACTGGACATACTCCACAGAGAAGTTCACTAGAAATTCACACCAAAAACCATAAAGAGTATCCTGAGGAAGTAGCACAACTCTATCAACTTACAAGTACCACAGATGTCTCATCTGAGATATTCTTTAACTGGAAATGGACAAGGAATATAGTGATGATCAGTTTTCTCCTTCTAGCTCCTTGATTTACAAAATATAAGAAGCAATAAACCCTCTACAACTCAAGATGTATAAAAATAACAAACATGGTTAAGTTTTCTACAATTCAACTTTTGTTTATAAAGCTTTTCACAAGAGCTCAGCTTAAGAAAGAAATTTCTTCTAATTTCACTACAAAATCAATGTATTCTGGCTTAAGCCATCTGCTGCAGAGAGATGAGCTTTGGAAATCTGACATGTGCAACCTAGTATGACCAAATAGTCAGTACTCATTGGAAATTCAGGAATGCAGGGGTCCAAACACTACCAATGCATACATATCATATTGATGGCAATTACTTTGTCCAATAAAGTAAGTTTATTGGATTCTGATATCGTTAACATTTTTAATCATATGGCTTATGTCCTGGTTTTCATTTCACATACCTCTGCCAAACTTTGTTGGCTAGAATCTTTTTTATCTTCATATGACTTATGATTCATATTATCCATTCATAAAGCAGCATCATAAATTTGGATTGCAGTACCATAAATTTAAAAATATGCACCTTGTCCATAAAAAGTTTGATTCTTAGTGTGCCACCAGTAAGATATATTTCTCAGTTGGAAAAACACAATTATACCATCGTAAGTAAAATTGCCAGTTCAGTATCTTCTTATGACATCATCCCATGAACCCTATCCCACCCTCAACTATTTCTGCCACACCTACCTGAAAGACTTCTTAATATCTTCTGCCTGGATTGTTTTGAGAATCTCTTGGTATAACTGAGGCTCATTGGTTGTTGAAGATATGGCATCTGAAGGGCAGCTTGCATGTGTATAATAGCCTATCAAAATTCCAAAAATAAATAAAACTGTAGCTATGGTAAGCAATTTTAAAAAGTGACAAACACTGCCACGGCTGTTCTTTGGTGAAGATCTTGTATAGTGGCTAATATAGTCAGATTCTTCTTGAAGTCGCTGGAACCTTCCTTTAGGTGAAGTTGCTGGTTGAATACAATCAAGATGGAGATCTGAGGCGTCTGAGTGTCCCAGATTCTGATTCTCAGCATTATCTAGTTGGAACTGGTCAAAACCAGGCTCCTCTAATTCCTTTTCCATGTCCCACTCTAAGTCCAGGGCAGTGGTTTGAAGGTCATCATTGTCTAAATACTGTGAGTGGCCAGAAGTTCTTTGATCTGCATTGACCTTCTGATAAGCCATCTTTTTACCTATGAAAACAAGAAAACATATTGTCTTTAAGTAAACAACATAAAAGAAAAAAATTGGCTCTATTGGTGTGTATGAAATCTTAATGACTATAATTGTTCTTGTAGAAATACATATCTGAGAGATAATAATCAAACATATGAGAGACAATAGCTATATATATGAAATAATAATTGAGTTATGTTATCTTGTGGGTGTTACATAAGCAAGGAAGATTACAAAATTAAAAGGTATTTGGTAGAAAGACTGAGAAAATGTTTTTAAAAATCATATAGACACATGCACAATTAACCTTTGATTCAGCAGAACAGCAAAGTTACAAACAGACAACTAAGGAAGGCAAAATTAAGCTTCACATTACACAAGTACTTTATACAATTTAAGGGCAAATACAAAAAAAAAAGACAGTAACTAAGTATGCTAAGAGCAAAAGAAGAATAAAAGATTTTAGGTTGATTTAATTTACCAGGGCAAGTTTTAAGAACACAGATGTAAGTTAATAAGAAGCAGAATGGCTAAATAAGAATCAACTTTCCAGAACTACATGAGGTGAAATGGGGTATGTCTACATAGTCAAAGACCACCAGAAAAAGGGAAATATTTTAAAGCAATTAGAATGTATCAAGATGTTCCACGGAATTGTGCCACAAATTGATCTGTCTCAGAGAATTTTAACTAAAAGTCTGGAATGGCACGAATCCAAAGAGGGAAGCCATTTAACTGCCTAGGAGAGTTTAGCTCATAACCTTACTACAGGAGTGGCAGATGGAGGTTTTTCTCCCCTCCACAGTTTTGGATGACAGTTTGTTGTATCCTGCAGAGTGGTATTAGGATAACTGGGCTAATTAACTGCAAGTGGTCTTCTGCCTGTCTTCAATAACCCACTGGTGCATTATGGTGGCAGATTAAGAGTATTTACACTTAAATTTTGTGTGTATTAGATTTGTCACCTCAGCTGGACGCTGAGGTTCCTCACTAAGTTTTATGGGTTTTCTGTGCTTCCTACTGGGGTGGATAAATAAGAAAGCTCAGCCGATAATTGATTAGCTAATTGCCTTTGAGCCAGTGATTGGCAAATGAAAAAGATACAAAGACTTTGTGAAAGGAAATGGAATTATGTTCCAAGTTATAGTCATATATCATAAGCAGATGCCTACTTAATTAAAATGTTTAGAATTTCAAGGAGGTTTCTATATGATTAATTATTAAACTTTGAAAGGCAGAACTGTAACTTTGACTGCACTTTTTATAAGCTAACCTATGTTGTAGGTAGGGTTCATTTTCATCCAGAGTTGACCTAATGAGGATGAATATCACATTTTGTCAGATGTAACAATTAACTTAATTACAATTATTAAGTAGGTTAGATGGCAACTGATTGACTAACAGGAAGAAACCAGATGTGGTATAGCAAAAATGTTGAACAGGAAGCACTAGATGATTTGCAAATATGAAGTTAATAGAATAAAAGACTTCTAAAATCTATGATCCTAACTCTGTCATGTTACTGAAAAGAAAATCTAATAAACCTACTAGAACTGAGTACCCTCTTGTGTTTTCATAGAAATATAAGTAAAAGTTAAAGGAAATTTAATGTTATACATTTTACAAATGAATTTGTTTTATTTTCTATTTTTTCCAGCCTAAGGCTTGAGCTCAGGGCCTGGGCGCTGTCCTGAGGGTTTTTTGTTTGTTTGTCTTGTTTTGTTTTTGCTCAAAGCTAGCACTTTACTACTTGAGCCACAGCTTCACTTCTGGCTTTTGGTGATTAATTGGATATAAGAGTTTCATGGACTTTCTTGCCCAAGATGGCTTCGAGGCACTGTCCTCAGAATTCAGCTTCCTAAGTAGCTAGGATGACAGATGAGTCACCAGCACCCACCTTAAATTTGTTTTATTTTATTGTTGCTCACTTGAACCCAAGGCTTCATGCTTACACAGTTTGCTGTCTCACAGCCGGCACTCTCCCATTTAAGAATGTAAGCCAGCCTCCAACCCTGGCTTTTGCTGTGTGTGGTGGGGGCACAAGGATGGGGTTCTGTGGGTCTATGGGTCTGCGCGTGCTCATGTGCTTCAGTATTAGGGCTTGAACTCAGCACATGCATGCCCTTAGCATTTTATTCAAGGTTGGAATTCTTCCACTTATCCACCACACTTCCACTTCCTGCTCTTTGGTGGTTAATTAGACATAAGAGTCTCATAAACTTTCCTGTCCAAGCTGGCTTCGAACCTGGATCCTCAGATCTCAGCCTGCTAAATAGCTAGGATTTCAAGCATGAGTGCCCGGCTACAAACCAGTTCATTTTAATATGCATTAGAAAGCACAATATTTGTACTAGATATTGCTTTCTTCTTTGACTAAAGGACCAGTAAAGGTTGTGACATATGTTGTTTGTTTCTTTAAATCATCAATTTAGGGATTAATGATTAATTTACTTATACCCTCTCAATGGAATAGTATATTTTTTCTCCCACTTTAATGAAGCAGAATCTTTCTCTCTCTTTCTCTCTGTCTCTTTCTCTCTGTGTAAAGACTTAAGTAATTAAATTATAGAGCATGGTTTATGCTTAAGAATGACTTGGCATAAGAAAGTTGCTATAGAAATGTAAAATTTCACCTTATGATCCCTAATTCAAACACTCAAAGTCATTTCTGTACAAATCATTTAAAAACTAAACGTAAGGAGGGAGAGTTTTCATCTCAAGCCTGACAATGGGTATTTTCATCAGATGCACATCAGCAATGTAATGCTTTTCAAACATGAGACAGACCCTTCAATTAGAATGTAATGCAGATAGAGATAGTAACTCCTCACCATGATAGTATGGGTTTGACATGCTTCTTACCACTTTCAAAATTATCACACATTAATCAGTTTTCAGTATGTTCTATCTTCCAGGAGAACATGATCCAGTCAAAGGTGGATGAAGCCACTTGATATTACAGAAATCCAAACTATTTTAGAAATTATGTTAAGTGATGTAAGTCAGCCACAGAGAGACAAAGGGAGATGTGTTTTCTCTTAGATGAAGAAGCTAGTTTTAGCTTATAAGATTTTAAGTACTTTGGGTAATTGTAAACAAGTGAATTAAGTGAAATATGCTATATTCAAAGGAAGAACTCAACTAGTGTAATTCCTTAGAAGGAAAAATCAAAGTTCAATAAAATAAGCACAGGAAGTGGGTACTTGGAAGGGATGTGGGTGGGGCCAGACGGGAAAGGGTAGATGAATACAGAGGAGAAGAAGGGTAGAATGTAGTCAGGAATTCAATGAATATATTGCAAAATCAAGAAGAGCGAAAGAGGGGCTGGAAAGGTGGCTCAGTGGTAGAGTGCTTGCCTTGCATGCATGAGGTCCTGAGTTCAATTCCTCAGCACCACATAAGCAGAAAAAGCCGGAAATGGCGCTGTGGCTCAAGTGGTAGAGCACTAGCCTTGAACTGAAATGCTGAGGAAAAGTGCCCAGGCCCAGAGTTCAGGCCCCATAACCAAAAAGAAAAGAAGAAGAGGAAGAGGAAGAAGAAGAAGAAAGAAGAAAGAGTGAAAGAAGGGGAGGGCTGAGAGGGATGAGTGATAATGTTGAAAGTGGTGACATTGATCAAGATGCCTTGTATTCATAAACTTTGTAGTTCTATGGCAACTCCTTTGTACAATGATTTAAAGATAATAAAAAACAAAAGGAATAAAGACCAGCAAGTTCTAGAATGAAAAAAAAGAAAAATTATCAAGGAAATGAACATACAATAATAAGTCTATTTATCTATCTACCTATCTATCTACATAATGAAGGATTTTAGTCACTTACTTGGAAAAGTCAATTCAAGAGAGTATATATAATTAATATGTGTGTATAAAAGTTATAGTAAATAGTATACATGAATACTTATTAAATATGTATTGTGGCTGCTACAGATCTATTCTAACACAATAGCTGGAAAATATTTCAGAATATATACTACTTATTATACATATACATAATTATTATATATGCTATTATTATGTATACTATGTACTAAAGAATCTGGCTGCTACAGGTCTATTCTAGCACAATAGCTGGAAAATATTTTAAACATAAAAATATTTAATTTTTTATTTCGTAAGTTACATATTACTAATTCCACTGAGGAATATGATAATAGCACTCTTCCTTTAAAATTTTCTTAGGGAGAACATTATAGACAATTTTTGAAAGAATCTAAAATATCTGTAGTTTTCTTTTTTTTAATTAATTAACTTATTTTATTGTGAAAATACCATACAGAGGGGTTATATTTACATGGGCAAAATAACGATTACATTTCTTATCAAGCATTGTAGCCTCCTCCTTTGTTTCCCCTTCCCATTCCTTTTTCTTACCAGTATTGTTTCACTTAAGATATATGTGTGTTCATGTGTTTGTATACACATGTAGATAGATAGATAGATAGATAGATAGATAGATAGATAGATAGATAGATAGATAGATAGATAGAGATGTATATGTATGCATGCATTATGTTTGTATGTATCATCAATCAGAAGCAAAACTAATAAACTACCAAAGTTTTGGTAATATATTCAATTTTTATTTTTGTCAGTATTGGGGTTGAAGTCAGGGCTTCACATTTGCTCAGCCTGGTTAATCTTCTGGTGCTTTTTCATGGAACCATGTCTCTAGCTTAGATTTTTCCTGGATATTTTTAATATGGATACTACTGGACTTTCCTGTCTGGGCTGGCTTTGAACCAAGAACCTTCAGATTTCAGCTGTCTGAATTGCTAATATTTAATATGCCAATCTTTGTCATATTAAAATTTGTCACAATCCCATCATTCTTACAATGCCTCTATCTGTAAAATGCCTAACCTTACAGAGACAAGTGAAGAAAATACTTTTCCCTAGCGTTTCCAAATTGCCTAATAAAATGAAAATATTATGTTACAAACACAAATCATAGGTATTTCTTAGACATGATCATATGTTATCAGAACTTTATATTTTTCTATTACTAATGCCCATTAT